ATGCTGAAAAGGCTAGATAGAGTTAGCATCATTCATAGAAGCAGCCAGACCTGAATACAGGATAACCATCAGCTGAGGACTTCAAAATCTGGTCTTTATGGAAAAGTTATAAGAGGATATTAGATATTGGAGAGAGAAAAGGTTAAAGAAATTCCCATTTACAGTCTGTGAAGTGGCACAAAGGTGACACAGCAAGCATCTGGAGGAAGGTGATCGGTAAAAATGTAACTGAGACGTAGATTCATGGGGAAAAACTCACAATGCATCATGGTGTTTAAAAGGACAGAGAAGCTGATCAGAGTTGCTGGGAAGATGGAGGGAGCTAAACATGGCTTTGGGAAAACCTGGAGGAAAACGCCGTTGACAAGGCTTGAAACTGGGATGGAGTTTCACCTTCTAGCAGGAAAACAGCCAAAAGCAAACAGCGATAGCCAGAATGAAAGGATTCAGGTCAAAATCAACTTCTAGAATAATCCAAGGTCAAGTTTAGACTCATTTGGATTTCCAAATGAGAATCCACGTCAATACTTGAGAGTTGATGTTCCCAGACGCTCGCCATCCAATCTGACTGAGACGTTTCTAAAAGAATTGGTGCCATTATCTGTCTGAATGTGCAAAGCTTCAGGTAAAATCCAAGCCACTTCCGACTGCAACACTTTGAACATTGCTAACGATTTAAGGCAAAAAAAAAACAACAGTTTTTTTCTTCATATGGCTTTTTGGTTTTCTTAAATGGATGCAAACACTGTGACTTGAATGAGAGATTGTTGTCGCTAATGTGACAAACTGGTCACAATAACTCTACTGAACAGTTTAATGTGGAGTTTTAAATGGCAGGTGTGCCAGCCTTACATTGTTTTGAGGAGGAGCCACAGTGTTAGCAAGGCACCGAGGTGGAATATGCCTCTCAGTCAGCTGCATTACAGTGGGGCATTATGGGTGTGTGTAAGTGAGAGGTGGCGTGCTATAACACACTGCTCTGAAAGACAATGTTTTCTGTCAGCTTATTCTGCTCCCCCCCCACCCCGCCAACATGGCCAGCCGAACGAGAGCAGACGAAGCGAGTCTATTCAGAAACAAATCACTGGAGGAACATTTAAATAAAAAGCAATGGCAACACTGATCGCATTGGAAGCAGCCCATCCTCCGTCGTTTTTATTACTTTTTTTTTTATCACGGAAAATAGCCGAAGCGCTTGGAAATGCCACACGGTCTATTGTATTTTCTCATAGCGTCGGTCATATCATATTTACAGCGCCTCGGTCTGTGCACTTGTGCTTTGTCTGCATTTGGAAACGGGAGCTGACGCTCCAGAGAAGGGAAAAAAAAAAAGAAAGGCAATAAGAGTGACAAATTTATCAAACAAACACCAACGCGCCTCGCTAGCCAGAGGAGTTCCACAAACGCTGATGTCATTACAGATTAACTGGATTTAGACGGAATCGTCTCTCCGGTTCACCGTGCGGCGCAGTGCTTAATTAGTTTTGGGGGAAAGAGAGTGGATTCATTTGGTCATGTTTGGCAATTTAGAGACTGAGACGTTGAGAAGATGAGCTTTTGAGTGGAAATGATACGATCTCATTTGTACTAGTTGCAAAGATGGACGCAACCTGACAAAAAAAAAACATAGGAAAAGATCAGAGCCTTTCAGGGGGACCAGACCCAAAAATATGGTGATGATTAAAACAAACAAAAAAACAACAAAAAAAACTGTAAAGTGCGTCACCTGTTTGAGTTGAGTCTGCTTCAGTCAATATTTTGTAAATACAAAATATTGACTGAAGCAGACTCAACTCAAACATTGTTTTGATCCAATACCAGCAGCAAGGGTTCTGGGCTGTGTCTACAAGATTTTGCAGTGTTTGCCTAATATTCTGCAGCTCTGCACTTTGACTGAGCCGTTCAATCCCACTGTCTGGACCAGAGGTCTGCAACCTGAACAACCCGAAGAGCCAATTTGATGAAAAGACATCCAAATAAGTCAAATGTCACCTGAATTTCGGAAAACAGACATCATCCCACATTCTTAAGAGGTGGGGTTATTTAGACCCCACAAGACTTTTACTCTGTTGTGCGCAGTCTGGCGGGTTCGCACTGACCCCAAGTGCGCTTTTATGAGTTTTGTTTTTTAAAGTGTGTGTCGTTTTGGGAATTGACAGTCTAACGGACAATCCGTCTGCTTCTCTACCGTCTGACTGTGACATGGTACCAAGAAGGGTTAAAGAACTAGTGTTTTATTCCCATCTGGATCATTTAAAATACAGATGACCATAAATGATGGGTGGATTTCTTTTGATAAACCATATAAATTCCAGCCCGATGGCAAAGAAAACAGATCTAAAAACATGTGGTTGGTCATTCATTGTTAAAATTCAGTGCAAATGTTGCAGGGGAAAAAATGAAAAATGGTTAAAAACTTGATATTACAGCTGTATTTAAAAACATAAACTGGTTCCTATTCATTTTTAGTTAAGAGACATAGTGGAAGGTCTAGAGCCGCTTTCAGCTCCGGGGCCACAGGTTGCAGACCCCTGGTCTATGCTTCACTTTAGATTTGGCTGTTTAGGGACAATTTCTGAACAAAGGTCTAACCCCATTTTCAATTCTTCCAGTGCTTCTAGTATATTTTCTTTCAAGGCTGCTCTGCATCTCTTTAGCACAATCCAACCTCCCATCAACTATTTCCAGTTTCTCTGTCAATTTAAGAAATCTAGCATGATGCTGCTACCACTGTGTTTAGTGTACTCATGTTATGTGCAGCCCTAGCTTTCCATAATGTATTCCATATTGGCTCACATTGGACGTGAACCAAAAAGTTGAGTTTTGGTCTCACCTAACCGCACCATGTTCCACACGCTAACCGTGTCGCCTACATGGCGGGCTGCCAGCGGCAGAAATTTTATCCCTTCTCTGTTGTTTTGTGGCTAAAATCCAAAAGAAGTATGGTGAATTTTGTGATCAAAATGTGAAAAAATTAAAAAGGTCTGACTTAAGTTTAAGAGCTGCTGTTGTTCAATTCATTCATTCTTCAAAAAAGAAAGAAAGAAACGAAGACGCAGGACGGTCTGCCGCTCACTAAACAATACCTCATTTCTAATCGAGTTAACAAGACAGAAGCTTTAACTCCATCTGGGCGACGAGGAAGAAGAAGAAGAAGAAGAAAATGTTTCTTTCTGGACTCTCTCTCTCATCCCATGTTGCTGCTGTTTTAAATTAAAGCTCTGAATGCAACCCCTGTCAAAACACCGGCGAGCTAAATACACGCAGCGGCTAATTAGATTGCTGAATGAGTCGGATTTTAGACCATCTTTCTGCTCTTTGTTGGTTTGCTCAATATGGAAATTACAATTCCTATAGAAGCGGCCGCGTAATTAGCTGGAGACAGACAGGATCCCCGCTCACTTAACAGAATGAAAGAAGACAAAAGATGATGGGGCTGCGCGCATCTATTTGTGAGTCGGAGTACGGCGGCAGGGGTTAGATGGGAACGGAGACCGGGAGCTTTAATCACTTCACACTGTCCTGAGTGGCAGGCTAAGTGTGTTAGCACCAGTGTGTCGGTTGTTGCTGGGGGGGATGATGCAGTCTGGGTTCAGCTCAGAGGAAGGATAAGGGTCCAGAATCATTCAGCAGCGAAAAAGTTTGACAGCCTCTCATTCCTACTACACAATTTTCTTCCCTTAATCACAAGGAACAAGGCTCTAAACAAAAAAAATAAAATAAAAAATTGCCAATTATGACAGCTGCATAGCATTTTTCATTATTTATTTTTCTCAGACCCGATTTCTGTGTTTAATGGTTGATAAAACACCACAGAAAAAAGGAGCTTTGTTGTCTTAAAAGTTTTTTTTTTCCTCAGATGTTTGAGTCCTTTTAAACTACTGCCGATCAAATCAACAATTAGAGACTTGACAGGATTTTTTTTTTTAAAAGTTCGTGCAGCTTGGATTTCGTACAATTAAGAACTCAAGTTATAATCTTGTACTCTAATGTAAGACATATCTGTCATGGAAATATTTTAAAGTGACAAAATTGTGACATCCCTTTCTGCATTTTCTCTGCATGCCAACTAGCGCATGATTATGTCACTTTCTAAATATGAAATCTGGCCGTGAGGTTGCGGCCAGTGACACAGCTCGTTTGTCTGAATGAAAGGCCAGTTATTCTCTGTCGTTTTCAGCTTTAAATTTAATATTTCATTTATCTGACAACAACTGTCAAGACATTGGAGATGATAACAGCAGATTGTGTTAGCGTGAGGTCAGCTAAAGTAAACACAATGTGGCGATTAAAGTGAGTTGTTTTGCAAGCAAAGACTTCTGCATAAAAAGTATCAAATTAAATAATAATACTAAAAAAAAGTCTTAGAAATCTGTGTCAAGATTTTCTTCAAAGACTAATAAGATGGTGCTTTGGCTGAGCAGTACAAACATTAGCAATAGCACATTTAGAAATTTTCTAAATTTAATCAGATATCCCATATGGAAAAATCATATCCTACAGATATACTTAATTTTTTATTTTTATTTTTTACTAAGAAATTGAGATAAAAAAAAGATGAACTCTGGATTTTTTAAAAACTGGAATAATTTCCCTTCTCAAGCTTTTTATTCAAGCTTGTAAAATGGAAAACATGAGCGGTTCATAAGTTCATTTTGTGAAGAGAACAAGAACGGCAAACAGAATAGCAAAATTAAAACATATGCGTTGAAACGTAAAACAGGTGAACCAAATGCTGGAGTGTCACAACCACGTAGTTAAGTAAGCGCGTGTGAACGCAAGGGAACAAACAGAATGTGACACGCCGCCGGCAGACTTCAAAAGGAAAAAAAAAACAAAAAAACAAAAAGAAAAATGTTAATTCCCAGCACACAAATCGGGAAGCGCAGCTTCGGCGTGACTGAAAAAGCCAGTCACCTGCAAGAGCTCAGCCGACAAACACACAGGTAAACACACAGGAGAGGACGCTGCAGGTGTCAGAGCAGCAGCACAACACGCACCTGATGCTAGTCATGCTTCCAGTCTCAGAGCCGAGCTTGCATCTCTCCAGCTGACTGGCAACAATCTGTCGTTCGGCTTCCAGCTCCCTGGTCAGACGTTCGAACTGCAGCTCCTGGAGACAGACAGAGAGAGAGAGAGAGAAAACGTGTCAAAATCAGTCACTACGTTTATTTACTGTCACGTCTACAGCCATCCTGGACCTCGTCACCGTCTGCGGCGCGTTTTTAATTGTTGTGAAAGTGAGTTTGTGATGGGAAGACGGGCCAAGACTTGGTCGTGTCTGCCGGTACGCCACTGCCAAACGTCAAGAGACGCAAAAAAACCCAAAGCCGGGACAACAGGAGAAGAAGAAGGTGGGCTTCAGGAGGGAAAATGTGTGACTTGAAGTGACAGATTCAGGTGAAAAAAAAAAGAAGAAAGAAATCAATACAATTACACTGTATGGATTCTTGCTTGGTACTGTGGACTGGCTGACGTTACTGCAGTAATTGAGAAGGCTGTCGGTCCTTTCTTCACGTGAAATGACTTGATCGGTGGGTGCAGCGCACCAGACGGAGTGTGTGTAACGCTGATGTGATCTGAATAAAGAGGATTGTTGTATATCAGAGAAAAACAGCAAACAATCGTATATTTAAATTTAACAAAATAAAATGGAACTGGGCAGGAATTTGATTCGATTGAAGGATGTTTGTTTTTATGTAGCACCAAAATCGAGGAGAACGTTTGGTTCCTAAAGCTTCTAAACTAAGACTCTATTTACATGACTATGATCCAACGAAAATGGATTCCACCCCCAATTTCTATTAACACATTTAGCTGAAGACATTCTAATTGCAGTTTTTGTTTACACAGCAACGATACGCATCAAAAAGGTGTAATGCCCTCGCCACGCCTCTAGTTGGTGCTAGGTTCTCCAAAACTAAGAGCTGCATGTGTAAAAAAATAAAAGTTTTGCCTAAAAGCCTACTTTGATTCACGTTTCCCCATCAGACACTGTTGCCCCAGTGTCTGGGTCTAACACACACTATGTCTGTATGTGTGTGTGTGTCTGATGAGAGTGCAGTTGCAAAAAAGTTTTATAAGTGGGACAACTTCGATGAAACACGTTTGAGCCTTCAGGGTGTCCGTAGTTGTCTAGATAAGAGCGTTGAACAAACACACGTATTTTGCCACCTGGGCGGAGCGAAGCGGCGAGGAGACGCCGGAGGAACCTTATCTGACGGGGAAACGCAAATCGTCGTAACACCGGCATTGTCGGTAGCTTCTTCTTCTGCGGATTGCAGGAAGTTTTGTCTTTAGCGTCCCTAGCTCCATGCACGAGCGAGGGATTCCCTGACCGAAAAGTTCCATTTCCATACAAAACAGACAGCGGTACGTTTTAGAACCGCTGCACTCTGGGACCCCTGCACTCTGGGACCCTTTCTCACACTGTGCTGCTGTTTTCACGAAAATGTACAGCAGAAGAAACACAACGAAACTCTTCCAGAAAGTGACCAGGAATGGAGAGCGTAACCAAATCCACAAATCTGGACTGTACCAGAAAGTGGCAAGAAAAAAATCCATTGTTAGGAAAAAAAGAAAAAAAAAATCTAATCCATGAAAAAAAAGAAAAAAGTGGTCTAGTTAAAGTACAGAATTAAATCCAAATTTGAATATGTGGAAAGCCTTCAGCACTGCTGCGAAGAAAAATAGAAATATGATTCTAGTCGAGTAACTACTTATGGCTTTTATACCAATATTAGGACACGTTAAATCTAAGTTAAATTTAGAAGGTAAACATAAAAATACATCAAAATTGTTCCTACAAAATTGGGTTGCTTTTGCATCAACCCCAACCTTCCCTCTTCCCCCCCACTTAATTAAAAGTGTGACAAATAACCACTAATTACCTGATGCACACAAACAAACCGGCATCCAATTAGAGTGTTTGTGCCTGCGGCTGCAAGATCCTTATCGTTGATTACACGTAACTGATTTGATCTATTTGGGCCAAATATCTAAATAAATAAAGGCTGAAAAAAGGCAAACAGCAGCAACATCCAATTGTCTTGGGGATGTTTTAAACTGAGCAGAAAATAAGCAGAGTTTGTTAATTTTTGGTTTTTTGCTTGTTTTTTTTTTTGTTTTGTTTTTTTTTTCGTTCTGGCCTACTGCTGCTTTCTGGTGAATGGTTTGTGTTTGTTTTGTTTTTTTATTTTTCGGAGGGATTTTTCTGGTTGGTTTACCAAACAAATGTAACGCAATCACCGAAAGAAGACAGCGATGAGTCGCCGTGGGAACAGGTGTGCTGAGCTGATGGGACAACAACAGAATTGAAAGAGATCGAACTGCAGACACCGAATTATCTCGTGAAAAGTCAAAAAGCGAGTAAGAAAACACCAGCAGCAACATTTTTTGGAGACCATTGCCCTCCAATATCATCCCTTGTAAAGCTTGAACTTGAAAAAAAAAAATAAAAACTCACAAAAATCAGACAATTAAAAAAAAAAAAAAAATGAAGCCCAGATGGGGTCCTTCATGTTTGGCATGAGGCTGACCTAATCTGCCAAAGTAAACAGTCCAAAAATGTAAGACCAGGAAGGGGGGGATGTGTTTATGTGCTCAAATATGAAGGGAGTGAAAATGATAACCAAGGGTAAACATCCAACAGAGCTGATAAGTTCTGTGTGATATGCCATTCTGGCAATCCTTTAAAACTTTTCCGCATTACTTGGCGTTACAAACTTGAACACATTTCATTTGGATTTCATTTGACGTTGGACACAGAGTGGTACATGATTGTGAAGTGGAAGGGGAAAAAATAAAATAAATTACATCTTATACGGTGTTTTCTAACATAAATCTGAAAGGTTCTCGTCAACTCAAGTGGAAGAGTGTTTTAGAAAGGACATAAACAGGAGTGGCGAGCAGAACGCAATCGCAGAGAAAAGAAAACGTCATCACACATCCTATTAGGAAACACAGCAGATGTGTCAGACTAAGCTAACACCCAGAGCCTCCCGAAAACACGGTCACGCGTTGAAGCGTGGAGGAAGCGGCACGATGGAGCAGAGGAGTCGGGAAGATGGACGGAGCGAAACAAAGCTTGAGAATCGGTGGCAAAAGTTGAAAACTGATGATCGTGCTGCTGCCATTCAACCCTAGTTTGCAAAGAAACGTCAACCTCGACAGGAGCGAAGCTAAACGAGACGCACTTTTCAGTTTCTTTTTGCAGCACTCGATCAAATTAAAGAACCCAGTAGCAAAAAAGTAACATGAACGGAGACGCTCAGATCTCTTCGTTCATGTTAGGTCAATTCAAGACTTGAATTGACTCAAGATATAAGGGACATTATCTCTCAATGTATTACTAATCTAATGTTTCTGCTAATGGACTGCACTGTAAAAACACTGAAAGCCATTTTTTTTTCTAGTTTCTAGCACAAACAATTTACTTACGAGTACATTTTCTGCAAGCTATATGGCCTTTATTTAAGTCAATAATTCTTGAATATTGAGTAAAAGTTAATCAATTTCTTTGTTCACTCATAACACGGGGGAACGCATCTTGCTTTATATATTTTTTGAACTTGTTTTGAGGAGGCCATGTTTTTTTATCGCTGCAGAGCCTAAACCTGAATAACGCTTCGGGCAAGCTTCAGGGTTCCCTCCTTTTGTGAAACCATTTTATTCTAAAAGACTCGTTCGTGTCGCACCTTCACAAATCAATTTGCGAGTTTTACGCATCGTATTCCCCACGGTTACGTGCAGGCTGCGCTCTCGCCAGCAGGCACAACTCTCGCATAGAATTTGACACATAAATGCGCCCGTGTGGCCTCTGAAGTGCAGATAAAATGACACGACCGCCGCTTTGTCAGGTGGTGAGTATTCAAGCTTTATTCAAATTGGGACGAATTGCAATAGATGAAAAGAAAAGACACACACAACAAAAGCTGCCAATCGATGAGCCGGGAGGAACCAGCAGGACGCGAGCCGTGTTCGTGCAACTGCGGGAAAACACGTTTTATTTTCATTGAAACATTTTGCTGCCGTCGAACGTCTAAAACTGTGTTTGTTGCGACCGAAAAGCCTGTAAGAGGCGCACAGTAGCGTGTCGACATCACCAAAGATCCTCGCAATCCTCTGCGAGAATAAAAAGCCAGTCGCTGGTAGCAGAGGTACTCTCATTTGCATCTTAAACACCACAGCATGAAAGGAAAAAAAAAAAAAAAAAACACAGCACGCTTTCCCCCTGCGAGATCTGACTTTTTATGCTTCCAAATCAATCTAAACTCCCTAATCGACTGATGTTAAGCCCAAGAAGAAGAAAAAAATGGAGTCTACTTTCAGGGCAACATCTATATAAGAAAGTTTCCCCCCCCCCCTTTTCCTCGTTTCTTTGTTAAATCAGATTATTTTGCTGAGAGCAAATACCGACACCAACTCAAGCACAATCCTTCAAAAAAAAAAAATTAAAGAAGCCACAATGCAATGGATCGCTCCCTCCTTTTTTTTTTTTTTTCCCTCCATGCCCCTCTGATCTCTGCTTCGGAGCTGACGGCCAGACACCTGTTACTGCGAGAGAAGGAGCCAGGACCTCATATGCAATCTCGTGTTTTTCCAAAATTAAGACAAAAAAAACAAAAAGTCAGACAGAGCAAAACCTACAGAGCGGATCAATTCAAGCTGCGGCGACACGTAGCCTACCTTCACATGGACCATAATGCAAAAACAGGCAGAAATTCACAAAGGATCCTGCTGCTGCTTCTCTGAGCTCCCATCCGTGCGCCGCTTCTCTCCGCTCCGAACCCTCATCTATCCCGCGTCGGGATGCAGCGAGCGACAGAGGCGGAAAGAAAGAGGCCGAGAGACCACAAGTGTCACTTGAGCTGACTGCAGCTCGGCCCTCTCACCCCCTCTTCGCCCCCCCCCCACCTCCCAGGCTCTGTGTCTCTTTCTCTCTCCTTGCTCAGAGGCCATGAAGCACACAGACACACACACAGACACACACACGCATACAAAAAAAAGACGAAGAAAAAAAAAAGCGCACATACACACCTACTGTTCAGTGAGCCACAAAGGTCCCCATGGCAACGCAGCATTTAGAAGCCCCGTGGCATTATTTATGCAACGTTGCATCACAATAGGCCCTCCCACCGGCCGGTCCCTGCCAAAAAAAGAGAGCCCGCCGCTCCACAATCACTCCCCTGCCTCTCACACTAGCTCCTTCTCCCCTCTTTTCCTCTCTGACCAGACCATCTGCACACACACGAACACACACACCACCAACCACCCTTCTTCCTTCCTCCACCTTCTCTGCATCCAACATCCCTGGAAAACAAGAAGGGATTTTTTTTTGAGGAGAGGAGGGGGCAGCTAAGAGGGTCTGCATATGCATGGGAGGCCCACACTCGGACTCATGCCGACACAGAAACATGCTGACGCACGCACGCACGCACGCACGCACGCACGCAGGCGTAATACTCAAAACATTAACGCGTTTGCACAGCGTTCTGCAAACGCGTGAAATTCTACGAGTCGAGGTGGGATGTGGGGCAAAAAAAAAAAAAGAAGAATTAAAACGTAGATTAGTTGCAGGAAGTTACGTGAAAAAGCACGTGTGCAAACAGAGATACAATTCAGATGGAATGTTGAAAAATGACACTCGGGTTCAGAAAACAGCCGCTCTTTCAAAGTGCGTTGTGAGACGACGGAGCAACTGGCAGAACTGTCAGCAACGCTGGGGATCTTCTGAATGTCGACACCAAACTGCTGCACAACGCTTAAATAACAGTAGCATATGCTGGACCTCTGGAGCGCAATACTGATGTACACTTCCCCAGGTTCAAATCAGAAGAGTTTCCAGCCGCTTTATTTGCAGGTTGTTTGTTTATAAATACAAACGGTGGCTGGACGCAGAATTGTTCTACATGTCTAGATAAAAAGGTTGTGAAATTAGTAGAAATAAACTGCATTATTCTGGAATGAAATTATATTGTATCCTATTTTCCTACATACATGTAGTTTTACTCTTATTCAGCTAAGCAGAAACAACAAACTGTTTGTTTGGTTATTAAACCCATAACAATAATGGCTGGTCAGCCTATTTGTGCTAAAAAGCAAGACTTTCCAATTAAAAGTAGTCAATAATCCAACACAAAAATTCAGAAGTGTAGGCCAAATTTGTTTTAAACATGGCTGCCAAGAAAAAGGTTGCAAGAGTTGTATGACTTAACAGTTTATGCCTGATGCATAATCTCTGTTTACATGCTTCACCTGCGTTCACAACCACAACATGGAGAGAAAACCATGTGTTGCTGACAGAAATTGCACCAGAGCAGATCGAAAATCCCACTGGTTTTGTGAAACCCTTCCAATTAGAACAAACTCAACTCAAAATTCGGACGTCAGACGGACAGGTCACTGCAGCTGATGGCCGACAGCTAATTGCCAACGGCAAAAACACTCCTCAGGTTTCTTCGGTCCGAGCAGTCAAATGTCAGTGTCTGATCAAACCAAAGGTTCCGCATGTAGAAGCAGATCACGAGTTCTTCCTGAGGAGCCGAGCTTTCAGACCCACAACTGCTGGTTAGGCACTCTGTTGTTCAGGATTATATGCTAGAGTGACTAGACTCCAGTTATTCCTTATTAAAAGGCACATGACTGCTGGCGGCGAGTTTGCTACAAGGGAGCTGAAAGAGTGGGAATGTTTTAATGAAAGTAGCGCAATCTGATGAAAGAATTAACGTGTGAAAGTTTTAGATCTGTACGGCAAGCAGCTACGTAGAAAAACACAGCAAAAATAATCAGTGTATTTGTAGTGAGCAGAATATCTAAAATAACAGACCATTTGGTAATTAATTATACTAAAAAAAACCTGAAGCTCTTATGATTCCATTAAGAAAACACAGCATGTTTAGGGAAACTTTTTTTTTTTTCGTGTCAGAGACACTTGGTCTGAATCCAGAGAAACATTTTTACAGAGATTAGAAAATCTTTCTGCACTGGTGCACATTAAACCAGGCTACACTGTCAAAGAGAGATGGAATCTCTTTGAAGAACTTAGGATTTGAGTCAAGATAAAAATAACTAATGCGACTAATGTGATATTTCAGTGGGAAAGTCCAAAGAACTTTGGACCGAGACATTTGAGATTTGAGTCACAAAACGAAGCACAGACCAACACAACCATCTTTAACTCATGGATGAATTTTAGCTTATTGAACGTTCAGACGTAGTAAGAAAATCTGAATCTGATCCTTTATTATTTTTTCTTTAATAAGACTTTTAAAGGCAACTGAGACAGCTTTACACCTGTTTAAAATGTATTGCAAAGAAGCATTGTTGCAACACTGAAAAAAAATAAACTCAACTTACTTTTTGAGCTAACTTTATTAAAATGTGCCTACATGAAACACAAGCAGTAATGACAGTTCACAGGCAACACAACGAGTAAACAAAAGCTCAGCGAGGTCAACAACACACACCGCAGAAGATAGCCAAAGCAATAAAGAAATTAACTTATTTTAAAGAACGTCATGGCAAAGAAAATATGAAGCACTTTGACGGGCAGGAGGCGGGAAACACCCTGGACCGGGCCAATCACAGGGCAACGGAGAGGACAAACAGGACAAATGACTACATACTCACACATCTAAGCAAAAAGACCAGTCGTGTTCTTCGACTGTGGGAGAAGCAGGAGCATCTAGAGATCCCCAGAGAACATGAAAACTACATGCAGAAAGACTTATAATAATAGTAATAGCCAATATGACATTTTAAATCAGAAATAGATGGAAAGCTTAGCACTTTCACACCACAATTAAACTGAATCCTTGATCTGGGCTGCCTCTGCAAGATTTATGAAGTCGCAAAATGAGCGATCAAATTTTCTGCTTCTGCCATTGATATTTGTGTTTCCAGCATACTAAAAAAAAAGTGCTTTTGTTAGTAAAATTAGTTTTTGGTCAATGGACGAAAGGGAACGTGCAGCTAAAACTGAGTATTGTCAAACATCAGCAGATTTATCATAAAAACCAGCATAAAAGTCCATTTTCCTACCCACATACAGCCTGGCTCGAAATCAGACGCCATGGAGTCCCAGCAGGTCCGAATTGATGAAGCCGATTTCACTCCTTTTCTTTTCCTTTAGCTCACTGGTTTAATCTCTACTTCTCCCTGTGACAATAAAGCCACCCACCTGGTGCACTGGTATGCATCCGGCACATGCAAAGCTCAACTTGGCGGTCATTTTCTTATTCAAATTTGACTCGGCTCAGTTTACATAGCTTGTGATCTGCATCTGAACGACTCTCTGAACAGCGCTGCTGCTGCATAATGGATTGGGCAGAGCTATGATTGAGTACGGCGACTGCAGTTGGTCCAGGAGAGCGAACGGCAGGGATGGATGTCCAGGTGGGCAGACCGACGATGAGTAGGTTTATTTACCGTCTGTAGAATGTGGATAATAACTAAACATTTGACATTTTCTTACAGTGAATCCAAGGTGTGTAAGTCTTGTCGTCCCAAATCTAATGCGCTTTGCAAAATTATTATTATGCCATATAATCATTACTTTCAGGGACCACAAGCTTATTTTTTTTGGTACGACACAATGTATCACATTAGAAAAAAATGATAACTGCTTTTCAAAAATGTTTATTTTTCAAATAAAAATCTTAAAAGTGAACATTTGTATTCAGCCTGCTTTATTGTTGCACCACTTTAAACACTAAAATAATTACTTGCAAAGAACTGTAGTGTTAGGATCCACATTTTTATTTTCTTTTATTTTGTCTCTGTAGTTTAATTTACAGACATTAAATGTGTCACAACTAAATCTCTTAACTGCTGACATGCACTCTACTCAGTTTTCTATACAAAATCACCTTTTTTTATTACAAATTAATTCCTTGAAAACTAAATAATTATTTTTTTAAAGGTTACAACAATCATTGGTTTCTAAATGTACTTTACCCATCAGTTGCAATAATGGAGCAAAACCAAGTGCTTTTCCAAAGCGATTGGGATCTAAATATTTTGTTGTTGAAACAGATAAAAACCTGCAAAATTACTAACTGTTTAACTTCATTCCCAGTTTGGCTAAAAAATAAAAATAAAAAATAAATCGGTGACATCAGCACAAAGTTTCTCTGGCCATTAAAAGGAAAGGACAGGAATTAACCTTGGCTCAACGAGAAGCTGCTTTAATAAAGTCCTTGTCCACAAATTGCATTACTAAAGATCGTTTCCGCCACCATGTCCCATTGGAGACTGATTGAGGACAGACAGACAGCCATGCTGCCCCCCTCCCCCTCCCTCACCACAAACATCATTACGGACATTACTGAGGAGAAACAAACAGTTCTGGGACAGCGGCTCGGACGGCGTACGTGTCCTGTAGCTAAAGCCGTCTCCCTCGTTTCCCCAACGCAAAGTGGTCTAATTGGGCCCCGTGGTATTCTTATGGCATTTAGAGCCTTCAGATCGGTGGTCCTGTTTTCAAGGCAAAATGTCACAGTGGCTGTACGAGCTAAGACCACTGCAGCCTGGAAAATGATTAGATACAATGAGTCCATTTGGTAACAATGCTCTCGCCAAGGCAGAGAGAAAAGAAAAGCAAGTTTGAGAAGGTGAGGACAACAAACCAGCAAAGATGGAAACAAAAGACTTCGATACTGTTCAACTGATCATCGTCTAGTTCGGTGATGAGAGATTTTGTTTTTTTAGTTGTCTCTAGCTGGTTTCAGCAAATGCTAAATTAAAAAAAAATCTAAACACGATGAGTATTTGCGGAGCTACAGATGAGAAAAATGATTTGCCTGGGATCAAGGTAAAACTGTTGACTCAACTTGGAGAGAAAAAGCACCCTGAAGCTTCCTGAAAGCTTCAAGGTGCTCACGGCAGGTAAACATCTCACAGCT